TACTTATTGATTTCTTGTCAAGCTATTATCAATCATATCAGTATTATTAAGTAAAACATCCATTTGTTAAATGCAAAGTAACAGCATCTGAGTTGCATTTACTCACAGACGTCAGAGAATGACTTCAATTCACAGGCAGTAGACAAAACAATAATCTCGTACTTTAGATGACTGTTAGATTAAAACTGGAATTACTGCCTCAAACCCCATTTACCTTCCTACTAGAAAACAAAATGCATCTTGTGTGATTGAACTGATATTCAGCTCATATTCTTGTGTATAGTCTGTTCAATCTGTTCCAGGACAATAATCACAATCCATTTAGCTTTCCTCCCTCTGGTATTTAAGCTCAGCCGTAGCCACTAAAAGGAGGCCAAAGAGGACCTTGCAAAAGTAGGTAGAGTTTTTACAGTGAATGACAAACGTGTCAGTCTTTCTGATCTTTTCCCAGATTTTGTCATGTTGCAATAACAAACTTGAGTGTTTTATTGGTAATTTTTGCAATAGACCAGTAGAAAGAAAGGAATAATTTTTGAAATGGAATGAAAATAGTTTTTTTTTTACTAAATAAAACTAATAACTGTGCCGTTTATTTGTATTAAAGCCACTTTCTTGATTGTGTTCAGCTGAGCAATAGACACAACTCACCTCACAGCAAGACTACAAATTGTTTCATCAATTTCAAATCAACTCACCTTTAACACTGTTGGCACTGCAGATCCCACTGTTATTAATTTTTCTGTAAAGATCAGACTATAATACAATCAGAAATTGTTTGAATGTAGCTAAAGGTGAACACTCATTCATTAAATGAACGTACAAATCCGGTGAAACTTTCCACATGTTGCATGAATAATTCCCACTACTGAAGTGCGCCAATGTCTTTTTAACTGCATTCGCTTAGACTTGCAGTTGTTCATGCATGTGCTGCAGTCCAGAGATCCGTTCAGAATCCCTGCAGCACCAGCTTTATTGAGAACATGAAAGAAACACTGGAGACGCATCTGTTTGCCAGCTAATGTGGACACTGCAGAGCTTCTGCTTTGTTGAGGCCGACTGGTGAGCTCTCCGTGTTTAACGTCGGCTACTGCTCCAGCTGATCCCTTTATCTCGTTTCGTCAATTTCATCCACGTGTAATAAAAGAAATATTCTGCCTTGTTGCGTCTCATCTGTTGTTTGATGCGGTATAAAATGATTCCAGACTACACAGAACAGTGCTTCACAGCTATGATGAATTTAATGCAAGCATCGTCAAAGGACATTGGTGTCACTGGCAGAGAAAAAAGTGATGGATTAGACTGTCCCGAGGGGGAAGTCCTGCTCCATCAACAAGTAATGAAAACTAATATGAAAGCAGCAAGCAGCGACAAATAACATGTTCAGGTTCCACTGTCTTTCAGAGAGGGGGTCATTATTGTCTCACATGTGACAAAAACGGGTTGACGATGTTACGATTGATGGCAGCCCATTAGTTGTTGTCCTGAAGAGTTATGGCAGTCTGCGAACGTGTCTTACTGAAAATCGATCACAAGGCAGAAGCAGCACTGCATCCAGTTTGTGGTCAGTTTCACGCATGGAGAACGAGTAACAACGGAGACAATGAGGACTGGGATTTGCTTCACAGGAAATACAATGAAAAAAATGTTTTGTTTTTTTTTGTTTTTTTTTTTATAAGAGAAGGTGATTCTCTAAAAGTTAACTTGTAAAGGCATTTTTATTTATTAATTAATTAATTTTTATATTTTGTCGTTTTTTTTGTGTCATTTAGTATGACAATGTGACATGGAAGAAGGTTATATGATTAAATGAAACCAAAACTACCCATCAGTGTGAAGATACCATCCAAACCATGAAACATGCTGGTGGCAGCATCATGCAGGGGAAAACAGTTTTCTTCAGCAGGGATGGAGAAAATGATGCAATCCATCTAAACACAGAGAAACCCGGGAAGAAAACCTGTCAGAGTCAGAAAAGCATGAGACAACGGGGTGTAATTCAGTTGGACAGAACAAGTTAGGTAACTGAAGTCAAACACTGAGCGTTAAGCAGAAGAGAAGCGCATAATTGACAAAGCTAGAACAAAGCGCGAATTCCGTATTATTTAAGTTAAACTAAAAACATCCAATATTTTAGGTAAATATTATGAGCAGGAACTCAGGGAAATATGCTGACATCTGAGTTGGAAAATGGAAAATATTTTTTCTACTGTCATTTATTGCTAAGGCAGGAGTAGCTGTTGACAGCGCAAGTGAGCACTCCACAATTCTGGCTATATATGTTTGCATTATTTACCAAAAAGGAAAAAAAACAAAACTGAATAAACTGTTTTTATTGCACTTTTAGTTAGAAACAATAAATTCAACTGGTGCTAAAACAGCCAGGTTTTGCCAAACAGGCCTCATTATGTTGACTTGACTTGCTTAGCTGCAAAGGCTATCTACTGACTAATGGGGTCAGTGCTCCAAGCTTTATCCAGGCTGCTGCCTTACAGCCTCAGTAGAAGTGTGACAAATGAGCCAAGTCGAACTGGTTGTGCTTACAAACATTTGCACAAATTTACTTGTTGTTTTTATTTTATTTTTTGCAGTTGTTGTGTGCCGGACATGTGACCCCTAAGTTCAGGCATAAGGAACAAAAATTATTTGTAGCAAAAATCCAAATTCCATTAATTTTGCTTTAATGTTTGCATGTTCTGCGCTTTACACCAGACCTTTATCATCTATGGTTCATACATGGTAGAAGAGTGTTTTCATTGTAATACTGGAAATCCTTTAGCATCTCTTTTGCGTGTGCGCTTGCTTTAGTGGCAAGGATAAGAGAGAGAGCAGTCTCTTTCATGTTCAGTGTTCTGCCTCTTTATGTGTGTGTGTGTGTGTGTGTGTGTGTGTGTGTGACAGTCATTCTACTGTCCTGTACATTAAGCTAAGTGCTCCCTACCGCTCCTGTAGAAGTAAATGGAGTCTCATGGCTTGGGGGTGGGGGGGTGTTTTACAACAGAAACAACCAGAGCAAATAATGGCACAGTCCTAATCACCAAGTCACTACTTCCTGGTTCAAATTCAGGTAAAAAAAAAAAGAAAAAAAGAACAAACTGCACTTTTCTTACTATCCATGCATTTGCAAGCTTTTGTATTTCCCGTTTACACAGTATTTCTTTATTATCCTGTGGTGTTTGAAGTGAAAATGATGCACGAGTAATATCACTCTCCTATCTTTGGTGTGTTTGCACCAGAAATAGCCCGACCAGATACACAATCATTTTTGCAGTGGACAGTGCAGCAGAATCTCTAACTGTGTTGGTGTAGCTTCAAGCCTTTGGTGATGTAAATACTGTAGAGCTGTATGTCCTGGTGCTTGCATCAGTTGGCTATTCCCCTCATTTCCCTCCCTCTATTCTCTCAGGGAATCAGTCTTCGGTTTCAAAGGCATTAGGATCGGAAGTACCGGGTTTAAAGGGAGTCACTGTTTCACACTTCAGCTAAAGAGTCAGCTCATCTATTGAGAATGCTTTAATGTATGAAATAGTAGTAAAAAGAAGATAGACTGTAGAATCTCTGTTATGTGATATTCAGTAGTTTTACTCTTCAAAGCCTGGAGCCAAAAACATGTTTTGGCTTAAGTTGAGAGAACAATATATATAAAAGTTAATATTGGCCTTATGAATTGTTAATAGCGATAAAGTAGGCAATCAGTTTCAGTAATGGAAAAGTTGGCGATGTTTCTCAAATGAGTAAAACTTTTCTCAAATTGTTCAACATTTTTTCTGCAGTCCCAGGAGATAGAGGAAAATTACACTGTCATTCACATTTCACAGCTAATTTTGTGATTACAGATTTTGGAGGTACGGGAGGGGAGGGTTGATCTGTGATGCAGATGCTCAGCTGGAGTCTGCAGCTCCAAGGAGGAGCTGTGTGGAAATAGGTGGCGTTTGGTGAGAGCAAATGTTTTATGCACTCTGAGTGGTTGCTAAGGGAGACTAAAGGATTCCTCAAACATCCACGAAAGAATCAAAGCAGCACTGCATATTTTGATGAGGGAATAACTTTATAATGTGATATGTAGCTGAAAAAAAAACTTTATTATGTACTTTATATTATTGCTCTTATTTCAAATGCTTTATCTGTTCAGTGTTTTTTTTTCTAGACACATTTATGATTTTTTTAGACAAGTAGAAAAGCAAAAAAAAAAGAAAAATAAACTAAATATTTTTCTCTACAGAGCAAATCTAGTGAATGTTTATGGTGTTGAGAGTATTGTGTTTTTCTTCCCCTCTCCAGATAAGCCACTGCTCTCTGTTCCATTTTATTATTCAGAAGATAATCTACAATTAGGGGAAAGGCTTGAAAGGTGTTTCATAAAACATGCTCCTTTAAGAATGATGCACAGGTTCATATTTAACTGTGCACCTGGATTCTGAGAGAAGCGGTGACAGTAATGAATAATACATAACAGAAGCTTTTAATTGAGACCCAAAACTGAACCACACAGCTGCTAAAATGCTCAGGTGTTGATCTGTTTGCACTACAGACGGTGGCAGAAATAAATATACATGCAACAGCTACAGAGATGCTTCTAAGGTGCAACGTGAACTTCCAAATAGTGTCTAGCATGAACAACTAAGGCTGATCCAGAAAAATCACACAAGAGAGGCAAAAAGCAGAAAATATACGCGATGGAAAGAATTGTGCAGAATTTGCAAAAATAACCCTCTACATATAGTGAGGTCAGCTTATTTGCTCAAAATATTAATTTAAAAAACTTTGATCTGCAGCTGATAAACAACAGAGCTCAGCTATGTCCTATCAATTCTGAGCAGCTTCTCAGGCTCATTGGAAAAAAAAATAAAACTAAAAATTTCGACATTGCATGCCACTGCCGCTACCATGCTTCACTAGGGATGTCTTTGAGACTTGCAACAAAACGTACATTGCGCCTTTGCTCCTATTAGCCCCAAACATATTGAGCTGGAGTTCAATATGTTAGAGAGGCAGCAGCAGCAGCAGCAGCGGCAGCGGCTCTTCCCGACTTCCAAAATGACACATTTCCTTCTCTGTTTAGCATTCATGCGTTGCAGCTTTTCACGTCAGTCTCCTAACGAGATTGTTCCATCAGACGGAATTACCCGCATCACTCAATGAAATACAATTATTGATTACACTGCCCCCTCTCTCTGGCTCTCCTACAACCACACTCTCTCATCTCCCGAAGTGCTGCATGCAGTCAGACAGGACTGCATCAGAGGGGGGAGAGAGACAAAAAAAAAAAAAAAAAAAAAAAAAAAAGAAAAAAAAAAAACCCTGTCGTGCGCTGGCAGTTTCCTCCGATCCTGCTCCTCATCGGGGGAGGGGGGCAAAAACAAAAATCCCAGAAAGAGCTTCACTATTTACCATGAAGGGATAACGGAGTTTGCTGCAATGTGTTACTTTCAGCTCAGTCCACTCTTCACGCCATAAAGACGGTAAGAAAAATACTTTTTGTTTTAAAGCTGCTGAACGTGATGACTAAAGAAGAGCATGAGTTGGTGGTTTTCCTTGCGATCCTGTTTGCACTTTTCCAGCTTCATTTTCAAACATAGTGGATGTTGGGATAAGTTTTTTTTTTCATCGTAATTTATTAGAAGTTGGTTTGTTTCCTGTCGTTAATCTCCGGTCAAGCGAAGACTTCTGCAAAGAAATAATAATAATAATTAAAAGAAAACTGACAAAATGATCAAGTATATAAAATATGCGTTGTAGAATCCAGTATATTTTTGTATATGCCTAGTTGCAAACACTTTTTTTTTTAATCTTATCTCGCTCTAAATGTCCAGGTTATGTAGTTTGTGATATCAGACACCGCTGTACTGTAAGTCTTATTCGTGGAGCGGAGCTGGCTGCGGATCGTTCATGCTTTTGTGCCGTGAAGCCACCTGCCCTGAGGCGGTTAAAGCACTCTGCACTGCCGCCAAAAAGAGGAGAGAGGATGTGAGAGGAGGCAACTGAGTCATCCCTGAACTGCACCTCAAGAAGCAGCGAGCGATTGACAGGCGCACAGCCGTTGAACTGGAAATCTGTGGCAAAGTGCTTTGTTTGCATCGCTATGGCTGCCCTGCTGGGTTACCACTGATGAGAGCGCTCGAAGAAAAAGAAAAGAAAAGAAAAAAAAAAAAAACTTTGGGTAAAGTGACTGCAAGCTGCTGAATGCATTATTTATTCCTACTTAAAATTCATTCAAGTTTTTTCTGTAAACAGGAGTTACTCTGTGGTGGTTTCATAATGGACATGGTGTCCACGTCCCTTATGAAGGGCAAAAGGAAGCAAAAAAAAAAAAAAAAAAAAAAAAAAAGGTTTTTGTTTGTTGTTTTTTTTTTCCCTAAACTTAAGG